ACTTTGACCTTTTGAATTCATTACAATATCCAATCTTCTAAACTTATCAATTAATTTTTTTAGAGTACTACATGCTAATGTTCTCAGACAAACAGGGGTTGGTTTTAAGTGGCCTTTGGATTCTATGGACCATTATCTYTATCAATCCTATTGCCTTGTCCTAGTTTCCAGAATAATGTCAGATTTGAACATGTGGGTCTTTTCTATCTTGCATGGAATATTTTTTAATGTGTGCTAAATTCCCCAAAACTGCAGAACTTAAAGTTCTCCTAAACAATAATAGCATAGCCATAGCACTTAGGAAAGACTAAAATCATCATTCTAAGAACCTGTTATTGTGTTTATTTCATTTTTAAAATTAAAAAATTATTGATGTTTTATAATTGTATATAATTCTGGGATTCTTTATGTCATATTTGTGCATACACATAACATAATTTAGTCAAACTCATTCCCCAGTACCTTCCCTTTCTCTCATCCCTCACTGATCCACCTACTCTCCTCTACTGAACTCTTCCCCAGCACTATTGTTAATTAGTGTAATACATGACTCATTGTGGTATACTCCTACATGAACATAGCCTAATTTGGTAGATTTMATTCCCCAGTACTTTCCCATTCCCTGATCTCTTACTCCCTCTCCATCTATTTCTTCTACACTGTTAGTCTTCCTTCTATTTTTTGTGAGATCCCCCTTGGGATTTTGATGGTATTCATTGCAGTTGGTCACTAATTATAAAATGCTGCTTAGCCGCTGCAGGAATGTGACCCAGCAGGAAGCTRAGTGCACTATGGGCCAGTGGGGTGGAGGGGCTGTGGGGCCAGARTGCGGTAGCCTCCCTAGTGTCTCTAGCCCTGGCACTGGACCACAGCGACAAGACCATGTGGCCAAGCCTCTCTACAACTAAAAGTCAATGTCAGGGGACAGAACCAAATCCTATGAGCTAAACCAAGAGAAATTCCATGCTGATGACAACCTGAAGATCCTCTGCCTGGGGCCCAATGCAGTGGGCAAGTCTAAACTCATGGAGAGATTCCTCATGAATGGATTTCAACTACAGCAGCTGTCCACATAAGCCCTGACCCTGCCTAAACACAGGGCCACTTTGGACTGCAAGATCATCTTCATGGACTTTTTGCCAAGAACAGTTCCAAGGCATGCACACCTTCTACTACCCCACAAGGCCCATGCCTGCATCCTCRTGTTCAATATGCAGAGTGAAGTCACCTATAAAAACCTGAACTTCTGGTAGACAGAGCTTGAGGAGTTCAGGCCAGAGCTTCCATGCAATGYATGACCAGCAAAACTGATATAGACATACATGTGACCCTATAAAGCTTCAGTTTTGCCAGGAAGTTCTCCGTGCCTCTGTACTTTGTCTCAGCAGCTGATGTTCCCAACGTCCTGAAGCTCTAAAATGGTAGAACTCAATTAGCTGTGTCTTACAAACAGAATTCCAGGACTTCATGATCAAGGTTTTACAGGAGCCTGAGAAATTCAAGTTGGACAGGAAAGAGGAGAACKCGCCTGACCAGTATCAGTGTGGCAGGATCCAGAGCCAAACCTCCTCCTGATCCGAAGTCTGCCTCCAAGGGCTGACTTGAGAGTGTTGGGGGAGGGGGCTTTTGGAATGGTCTTCTAGCTCTGAAAGGAGAACCTCTCCAGGCCACCCCTGCTCAGCCTCCCCCAACACCTCCACCCCATGACACAGGATGAGGTAGCAAGGACTACACTCGGGACAGGTGTGAGGTCCCCCAAACCTGCTTATGACAGAATTATGGAATAGCGTCCTTCACACCTCTCATCCCCACCCCCAGCTTGGCAGTGGAAAGAACCAGGAAACACATTTGTGTGTCTATTCAGTAAATGGGCATTTAGGTGGTTGTTTTTTGGTTTGGAGGATTATTTTTCTTCCCCAAACGGACTTCAGGGACTATTCTTTGTATTTCTTCCAGGAGAATGATTGCTCATCCCTGATTTCTCCCTTACCCCACTGCARAATGTGTAAGGCCTCTGTCTTTTTTCCCCCTTTAGTCTCCCAGCTGGTTTTTTAAAAGATGTTTTTTGAGCAGACAGCTTATTCCAAGTTTTTGAACATGTAAAAATTTCAGGAGCTCTTCTATGTCAGTCAAGATCACTGAAGAAGTTGGTCATTAAAATTAAGTAAAAGCAGGTGACAAGTCTAACTGTACTTAGTCTTACAAATACACAGAACAAAGTAACAGTACTGTTCATAAAAAATGGGTCACAAAGCCTTGCCACAAGGACAACGATTTGGAATACAAGAAATCAGTTTTCAGAACTGCTGCCTTCAGGCCTCGCTGTCAGCTTAGGAGTTTTGCTTTCTTTCTCTAGAACATGTGGAACACTGTATCTCCTGGGGGTGGTCAAGGGCTGTGAAGAAAGAGCTGTCTTGCCGCCTTGGTGCCCTGTCTGGTGTCTGGTTTGCCAATGTGCATTTATGATCATCTTGGGCATCAACGCATTGTGGTCCTTAATTTGTTTGAATTGTTTCTGTTTTTACAGTAAAGATTGAATTCAAGAAATGCACCTGAAGAATGTATTTGTTTATCAATCCTGACTTTTCTCACCCAAAAATATATTCTGGGTTGTCAATCTGAAAAATATGGAGTCAACAGGTTTTATCATAAATCTACTAATTCTACAAAGAATCTTTTACCACAACAAACACAAACAAAATCTCCTAGTTTGTACCCAATCATCACCATCTACACTCCCAACCACAAAACAAAAATTTCTACCCAGGAATATTCAGAATTCCCAGAACTATAATTGTCAGACAAGCAAGGACATCTTGGGGATAAAATAAATGATAGTGGTTACCAGTATAATCTCTGAGATGACTTTCCCGATGTTTAAGCCAAGAGGATAAAGACTAAAAGTTAAAGACACTTAGAGACAGGCCATTCATATACTTAAAATTTTTCAAAAGATGCTGCATCAAAGGGTGTTGGGAATGTATTTGTATGAATGGTGGATTAGGAAAGGAGAATGCTGACTTCCACGTGGCTACCCTATGACATGTAGTAGGCATATTGAACAAGCAGGTCTCATGATCAGTAAAGAACTCATCATTTCCCACTGTGGGAATGTTACTCCCTGGTAATAAGACGGTCATCTTGGATGGACTGAAGATCAGGTGTCATGAGTTTTCTGATCACTCCCACTAACAAAAAGATCCTTCAGTTTTATGAACCCTGAAGTAACTTCCTCATTGCCTGTTCCAGTCCTATGGTAGAAATGGACTTGAGAGTGTTGGGGGAGGGGGCTTTTGGAATGGTCTTCTAGCTCTGAAAGGAGAACCTCTCCAGGCCACCCCTGCTCAGCCTCCCCCAACACCTCCAGTGGACTTTTGAATCTCTTTTTCTCTGCCTATTCCCCTCTTCTCCTTCTGCCTACGCTCTAGGTTGCTCCTAGCTCCTCTAGGGCTAGCACAGGGGAGGGAGAAGTTATCAGGAGAGGCAAAAGCTGGGAAAAGTAACTCAGTGGACAGCTGSGGAGTGACTGACCTTCCCTCTGGGTATGGACAGGTATGATGCCGATGTATTCTCTTAGGCAAACTCTCTCCCTTCACACCTGGAAATGTGTCACACCCAGCTGGCATCTTAGGATTTCCTCTTGGGCCCTGATTTTCAAGTCATCTTGAGGTGCCTCAGTGGTGGCAGCCTGCTGCCCTCCAGGTAGCATTTGGAGGGGCGGTAATATTTAAGATGACTCCAGGCCACCTTGCTCGCTTGCTTGGTTTACATCAGATCTACTTTCCATCCAGGGCCCTCTCCTTTGTTCCTCAGGTTGCCCAACCAGCTCTCACCCTTTAGATTTCTCTGGCCTTAATTAGACACGGGTCCACTGTAGTTCAAACTTCAAGGGTCACCTAACATGGTATCTGAGCAGTTTCCTTGAAGTCCCTCTTTACACTTGACACAAGTGGAAAAACTCTGCAGACTTACCACACTGATGTCTTTCTCCAAAAAGTATTTTGCCTAATTTCCATATTATTACCACAGGAATTCTTAGCATTCCCTTAGAGACCCTGGAGATGGTAATAGACCCAGTGTGGCCATGCTCACTCTCACACACCTCCTTTAAAGTCCTGCATTARTAGGGCTGTCCCTTCACTTTGGAATTTAAGAACTTTCTGCATTTATTTTTTGTTGTTTCTTCCTTTGTGTTGAGGGCCACAGACAAGTCAAGATGGTGACTGGCACTTTGCCAGGAGGAGTGGTTTGAGAAGTAAAGCCAGCAGGCCATTAAGATGATGGAGATTCCTTAATGAACTGACTGCTGTGTCTAGATTATGTCAATTAAGTTAAGCTGTGTATAATTATTAAGATGATGAGGATTCCTTAATGACTGATTGCTGTAACTGGATGATGCTAAATTGAGTCAAGCTGTGTATTCAGTTATGTATAAATACCTCTGCTGTCCTACAATAAAGCGGCTCCCGTTGTATCAACCTTCAGAAGTTGCTTATCACACACACACACACCCCCCCCCCTCACCCCCCCCCCCCAGCCAGACTGCAGCACCTTTGAAGCCTTCAGTGAAACTGAGACAACAACATAAAGATGGGAAAGAAGGGATGGGGATAATGGAGTGAGGGAAGAAGGGAGGGGGAGAGAGAGAGAGAGGAAGAGGAAGCCGTCTCATTTTAGCATTGCTATAAAGATGGAATCTGAGAGAATAATTTTCATGTTAATAAATTCTGACTCACTAGTTGACACTTACCGTTTGAATTATCTGCTTAACATTAGTTTCTTTTATTTCCTGCTGTCTATTAAAATATAACAGCATGCCATAAAATGGTGGCCTATGTTGAGAAAACAGCTAGAAAGTCGTTCCAAAAATGAAACTGCAAATAGATATTGATAAAATRCTACTCTACTATAAACCATGTGGATTATCACTTTACTCAGGTATGTTTAATTTAATATTCATTAAAAGAGAAAAGATACAAATTTTCTATTTCTGGTCCTAGGCCGAGATTATGAGAAGGATAAAGTCTGCCAGGAACTGGCTAGTCTGGGAAGAGATGACTTCAGATCTCTGTAAGTGTGCAGTATGCATTCAGTTCACCCTGGTGGCTTGGTCTAGAACAAAACTGAAGGAGGGTTGAAATGATCTCTGAGAARACAAAGGACAGAGTCCTAGGCCAATGGAGCCAGGGATGTCAGGCAAATGGAAGAAATTCAAAGAYCCCAGTTGAACTGTGGTTACTGTGATCTAAGAATTTGTCACCAGTAAGTTTATGAATGTGATTACAGTGAATAGGTAAGCATAGTTTTCTAAGGGAAATTAAAATATATATTTAGAACACTTTCTAGGATTCTGCAAACAGAGGCAAAAAGGAACAGAACAGGTTCTTTTGGGGGTGCTCAAAGCACATAATATCAGGATGACTTAATGGAACTTCCAAGTTCAATTTCTACTGCTTATAAGATAACGTTTTCTTAGAACAAAAACCACTYTTTAAAAAAATTAAATGTGATATTCTTTTCATTACTGAAATATAAAGGTAAATGTATAAAATATTCCATTTAAAACACAAATATACAGACCTCATTTTAATATGTGTCAAAATGCAAAAGAAAATTAAATGCTAACTGTATATCGACTTACTATTTTCCTCAGGTCACTAGTCCTATATAGCAGAAAATTTTCCAGTGGTACATTTGAACAGGTCAGCCAACTTGTGAAAGAAGTTGTCTCCTTGACCGAAGACTGTTGTGCTGAGGGGGCTGACCCTGACTGCTACGACACCAGGGTGAGCTTATGTGGCTGGCCCTCTCTACAGTGGCCCAGGGAAGGAAGCTATGATAGGTCCCTCTGCCATGTCTTAACTGAAACTTCAGACAGCAAGTTTACCTACTCTAAGTCTGGAGCTGGTGGTRGAATATGAAGCCTACTATCTTTAGTTCCCAGGTTTATTCTAGCAGAGTTAGTCCATTTTACTCATTCCTACATGATCCAAATGAGAAAATTAGGATAAAGTAACTTAGGGACTTACTAAATATACACTGTTGGTGAGAAGTAGTTAAAGAATATGAATTTAGATCTTACTCTAAAGCCAGTTTTTAAAATAATTACAAATTTGCACCTTACAAATATCAACTCATGAATCTCTTAAAATAATTTTAGTACATGCTATGCAGCTTAAAAGCCTGCCTATACCTTTATCATCATGTAAGCACATGATGGTACCGCATGCCATAGAATACTTTCATGATGGCCTCAAATGATAGGGGGTTCAAAAATTGCATACATACACTTGGTTACAAGTTAACGTTCTCTATAGTATATATGCAGAAATTAAACTTCTGAAATGACAGAGTACAAACTATAAACAATTGAAAAATGTGAAACCTGGGTAGTTTTAGCAAGTTACTAATAGAGTAATCAGGCCCAACGCAAATTACATTTAGAGGCATTTTGATAAAGGCCTCCRCAGACACATTAGTCTCTCTGCTAAGGCCTATTAGCCTGCAGAAACAGTGTTCAAAGGTCTGATTGGAACAGATTCTGTACAATGAATATTCTTACTCACAGATTGCTTTATCTGGCTATTTACTTTCTCTGAATTCTACAATAATTTTCTTCCACCACCATGCCCATAAATAACTGTCACTTCAACCTCACCTCTGWATCACCTCAAACTAAACAAGCATCAAACTGTCAACCACGGTCAAAACATCACAGCATATTTTAAATTGTATTTCATCTATTTGCTAATGCATCCAAAGTTGTGACCTGTCTCTATAGTCTTGGAGCTTAAGAAAACAAGGGTAAGGTTGGCATTTTTTTTTTTTGCATGACACCTTTCTTCCTCCTGCTCATTCAAGATATTTAGAAAAATGGGAGGGGGAGTGTTGATACTTTTTTACATTCTAATTTTATTTGAAAGGGAATACTTTTTAAAAGGAAAAATAGAAAAGTTKCCAGGGAAATAAATAGAAAGGAAAAGGAAATGAGATAATAGGAGACATAAGATTTAAAGAGAACCTGATTCCTAAGTTCTGAGAGGCTGATATGGTAGGTAGGGATGAGGATGAAGAGATAGTTAACAAAATTCATTCATCACATCGCTCTTCTTCACTGATAAGAAAGCTCTTTAGAAGTTTTACCTTAAAAAGATGAGCAACATGTAAAATAATTATAAAAATATCAGATTATTTTTCCCACATAAGTAATTTTTCCATAAAACTATTTCTAATTCTTCTTTTTTCTATGATGTCTAACACTTTTCTGTCGTTTTAAGTATCAAATTATTTCTAAAAAGAACATGTTCTGTTGTTACAATTGCTTTGAYGGTGCTTCAAGCATCAGTTTGGCCTTGTTGAGGCAACTACAGCGCTCCCAGAGGTTCTTAACCCCATGCTGCACTTGAGAACAAATCTTGAAACTTTGAGAAAACCAGATTTTCAAGTCCTATCTTTGACCTACTGAATCAGAATTTCTGGGTTGTGTAAGCCAGGCATTTCTGACTTTTTCATACCCTACAAATAATTCTGATGCAGAAGCATGCTCCAGAACCATTAGATAAAATATAAACCAACACAGAACTCTAAAGCAGTCAAGTGTCAAGAGTCTGTTCATGTAATAAAAGAATGGAAGGGGGCAGGGGAAAGTCTTCATTTTTAGGGGCGTAACCGCAACAGAATACATATGGAGAATCATCAATGGAACTTTTCCAGAATCATCAGTGGAACTTTTCCAAATGACCCTCTCCTCCTCAGAGATGTTAAAATCCCCATGGAGGAACACTGGGCCAAAGGATAAAATTCTAACGACTACAGTAGAACATATGTCCATTTGTTAATGAAGGTTCTGCTTTTTATTCTACTCTGAGGAGACTCACTTATTAACATAAATAYGACCCTATACTTCCCTCAAACTATACCTGTGCAACTTTTCATGGTTTGAAATCATCTCTGGAGTTTTTGTCTGAACACTTGATTACTGATGACAATTTTTAAATAATAGGCTAAGATATCATACTGAATGGAGAACTACAAGCCTGAAGGTTGCACATATTGTATAAGTTTCTCTTTTTTTTCTTCTCTCTTTGCAGACCTCAGCACTATCTGCCAAGTCCTGTGAAAGTGACTCTCCATTCCCAGTACACCCAGGAACTCCTGAATGCTGTACCAAAGAGGGGCTTGAACGGAAGCTCTGTATGGCTGCCCTGAAACACCAGCCACAAGAATTTCCTACCTATGTGGAGCCAACAAATGATGAAATCTGTGAAGCATTCAGAAAAGATCCAAAGGGATTTGCTGACCAGTAAGTTGTTTTCATTATAAAAAGAACTTTGGGTCATAAAACATCTGAAATGAATTGAATCTAACCAGCTACTCTATGCAAACACCTCTTCTAGGAACCCAGACAACTACCAATGATGGAAACTTGACTCTCACCCAAGACAGCTCATCTCCTTGTCAGTGCTGACTATGTTTATGTCTGTCCCAGACAGAGATGAAATCAACTCTCCCAAACTCCCACCCACAAACCCGAGGTTCTATTATCTGAAGCAGAATCCTTTGGATCCCCTGTCCAAACATGACATATTTCCCAATACTTTACAGCCCCTATTGTGGCTGCCCTTATGCTAGAGGTAATCCATACAATCGAAGCAGCTTTATTGCTGTGTCCTTTCTAGATACTTTCCAAGAAAGCATATGAGAGGAACAGCTTTATTTCCCCCTCACTCCTATACATTTCCAGAAACAGCTCACAACAGCAGTTACGGAATACAAGTGGCAGGAAGATTTCTGAGGTTGGTTTATACTGATGTCATAAGAGAGAATGAGAGCTCCCTGTGTCCCTTTCAAGTATCAAGTTCAAATTCTTTATTTAAAGTTCCCCAGGTCCTATATTCCTAATACCAGTTATGTTGATCATGTGGCCCTTTAAAAAAAGCTTTTAACAGCAGTGATAAAATGAAAGGTTCCTGGTTTATCCTGAATTCATACAAAGGGCATTGGGAACACGACACATGCACTACAAAAGTAAACATGTGACTTTGACCCTCTCCTTGCTTAACATTCATGAGGAGCCAAATTATACTTGATTATGTTAGTTTTAGAAAGTCATAAAAATGTACCAAAAAAAACTGCAAAAGACAATTTATGGAAATGGAAAAAAATATTGCACAAATCAAAAGCAATGTCATTCAAATTGGTAATAATTTTATTAACAACTTGCTTGCCCATTCCTATAAATTTTCAAAAAGGATTTTGCCRAAGACTTCAGTTTCTTTTTAATCCATGGATTTGTGCTCCTTAAAATTGAAATGATTTCTCTCAACAATTAAGTATGCTTATACATAACAATTGTCCAGAATAATAAACTGAGGTGAATAAGAATAAATTTGAGTAAACCTGATAAGTACATTCATTGTAATTAATTCAATAAATGGCTTAATAAACACCTAGTATGGATGGGAGATGCACTTGGCTAAGTGAACAAAGTGAACAAAGGGACAAACAGCTCTTTGCTTCAAGCATATCTCATAGGAACTAAGACAACTAGTTTTTTAAAAATATATATTTATTAAAAGACTAGTATTGTAATTATTTCTCTAGGTCCTTTGTGTTTTTTAAACAAACTAAAAACTGATATAACACACATCCTCCATCAACATACATATGAGAAATCAGGTTTTGTTTTCCTACAAATTTTTTGACCAATCCTATTTTTCTCCCACAGGTTTTTGTATGAATATTCCAGTAATTATGGACAAGCTCCTCTGCCACTTTTAATTGGTCACACCAAGAGTTATCTCTCTATGGTAGGAACCTGCTGTACCTCCGCAAGCCCAACTGTATGCTTTTTGAAAGAGGTAGGTTGTGTTTTGCTTATTACATAGTCGTGCTATTTTTCTTCTTGTAATGACATTCTTTTAAACAATGGTAGATGTTGAGATTTTGCACTTATTAAGAGTTCTCAGATGTCTTCTTCACATGCAGTTAATTGGAAAATAAATATGCCACCTCAGGAAAGGAGATATCACTGTTACTTTTGTCAGATTTCAGCTTTCTAGTCATCAAAAAATCATAAAATTAACATCTCTGTTTTTGCTATWTGTGCACACTGTTTTCAATGGATCCTGATCATCTGATGAGATTTTGTCACTTTTTTTCTAGAGACTTCATATGAGACAGTTCTCTCTTCTTACCACTATGTCAAATAGAGTTTGTTCACAATATGCTGCTTATGGAAAGGAGAAATCAAGGCTCAGGTAAAGATTAAGTATCATCATCACATTTAGAACATTACTTCTGCACTATCCCTAATGATAGAATTCTCCCAGATGTTGGTGAAATATAGAAACTAGACTACCACAGAACTATGCACATATTCAATGATCTCAAGTATTTCCTTTAGTTTTCCTTTTACATTGAGATAGTGAGTTTGGCATGTAGAACATAGGAATTTATAATATAAAGTCACCAAATAGACATTACTTTATTTATCTTTATTTTATTTTTTTAATATTTATTTTTTAGTTTTAGGTGGACACAATATCTTTTTTTWATTTTTATATGGTCATGAGGATCGAACCCAGCGCCCTGCAATGTCAGGCAAGCTCGCCACCGCTTGAGCCACATCCCCAGCCCATATTTACCTTTATTTTATACATGCATCAGTGTCTARGAATTTACTCCAAAGAAGTAACATTCAGTCTAAACAAAGATTAAGCTACAAAATATTACTGCCATATTTTAATAAGAAAAATATTAGTGAATTCATAATTGTCCCTAGAATAAAAAATGTTTGAATTAACTTTGTCAAAATTATATTGTAAAAATTATTTTATGAAAAGTACCAAATAATGGTCAAAGAAATTTAAAAAGATACAAAATAGAACGAAATTCCACATTTGTGGTTTGGAAATCTTAATACTATTAAAATGCCCTTAGTATTCAAAGCAATCTCTCTCTAAATTATAATGAAATGTTTTTTTGCAGAAATAGAAAAAAACTTAGCTAACTCTCCATTACAAAAATAAATACTTGGAATAACTAACTTATAAAGAGGAAAGTCTTATTTTAGCCAACAATTTTAGAGGTCATAGTCCACGATCAATTGGACCCATTGCTTTGGTTCTGTACTAATATATCATGGTAGGAGTACATAGCACAGTAAATTGCTCACTTCAGAGCCAGAAGACAAAAGAGAAATGGTTGGTTGGGGTTCCACTACCCCATGGAGGGCATACTCCCAATGACATAAAGACTTCCAATAAACCCCACCTCTTAAGGGTTCCACCACCTCCAGTTACCACAACCCTGGGATCAAGCATTTAACCCATGGGCCTTTGTGAGACATTCAAGTTCCAAACCACAGCACCATCCTAAAATTAATAGGGAAATTTCAGCAGATCTTAAGAGACTCCAAACAGTCAAAACAATCTTGAAAAAGAATAAAGTTGGAAACTAAAAATTTCCTGATTTCACCAGGCACAGTGGCATACACCTGTATGTATCCCAGAAACTCAGGATGCTGTGGCAGGAAGATCAAAAGTTCAAAGTCAGTCTTAGTAACTTAGCAAGACCCTGTCTTAAAATAAAAAATAGAAAAGGGGGACTATGAATGTGACTCAGTGGTTAAGCAATCCCTGGTACCAACAACAACTACAACAAAATAATTCCTTATTTCAAAACCCACTACAAAGCAACAATAATCAAGATGGTGTGGTACTAGCCTTAAAACAGATATATAGACCACAGAAGACCTAAAAATACACTCTAATATATGGCCAAATGATTTTCAATAAAAATCCCAAGACTACACAATTAAGAAAAGGGTTTCTTCATTGAATAGTGTTGAGAAAACTGGATATTCACATGCAAGATAAAGAAGTTTTATTCTGACCTTATATTATATACAAATACAAAAATGAAATAAATATCTAAATGTAAGAACTAAAACTATAAAACTCCTGGAAGAAAATAAAATGGAAATTTTCAGGGTATGGAATTTGGCAATGATTCTTGGATATGACACCAATACATGGACAAGAAAAGCAAAAATAAATAAATGGAACTATACCAAATCTTAAAACTTCTGTTCAAAGGACATAACAAAGAGAGTGAAATGGCAACCTACAAAATGAGAGAAAATATTTGCAAGTCACATCTTATATTAATACTATGAATATTATTTATAATATTCAGAATACATAAGGAAATACTATACCACGCCAACAAAAAACAATTAAACATTAATAAACAATTCTCCAAAGCAAAATATAAAAATGGTCAACAGTATATGAAAAGATGCTAAGCATCATTAATCATAAGAGAATTGCAAATCAAAACCACAATGAGATATTGCCTATACCCATTAAGATTGTTACAATCAAAAAAGCAGAAAATAGAAAATGTTAGAGAGGGTGCAGAGAAGTCAGAATACCCATGCATTGTTGATGGGAATTTAAAATGGTTCATCCATGAAAGGAAATGGAGTGGAAATTCCTTAAAACCTAAAAATGGAATTACCTGTATGTACAAGGCCCTAGGTTCGATCCCCAGCACCAAAAAAAAAAAAAAAAAAAAAATAGAATTACCATATGATCTAGAAATTCTGGTTCAAGTTATATATTTATTTAAAAGAATTCCAGGAAAGATCTCTAAATGCTATTTGCACACCCATGTTCATTGCAGCATTATTTACAATAGCCAAGAGATGAAAACAAACCAAATGTTCATTGACAGATGACTTGCTAAAGAAAATGTTAAATATGCATACAATGGAATATGATAGTCTTTTAAAAGTCTTATCACATGCTACAACATGGATAAATCTTGAGGACATGATGCTAAGTGAAATAAGCCAGTCACTAAAAGATAGTATACAATTTCACTAATATGAACTATATAAAGTAGTTAAAACCATACAAAATAAAGAAAGGTAATTGCCAGGGACTAGGACCAGGGAGAGATGAAACAGTGTTTAATGGATATAAAGTTTCAGTTTTGCAAGGTTAAGTTGTGGAGATACAGTTCAATGTAATGTGAATATGATTAACACTACTGAAATATAAAAATGATTAGGGTGCTAACTTTTTTTTAGAGAGAGAGAGAGAATTTTTTAATATTTATTTTTTAGTTTTCAGTGGACACAACATCTTTATTTTATGTGGTGCTGAGTATCAAACCCAGTGCCCCATGCATGCCAGGGGAGCACGCTACCGCTTAAGCCACATCCCCAGCCCCAGGATGMTAAATTTAATGTTGCATTTCATCACAATTCTAAAAAAGAATTCTTAATGATATCCTTGTCTATGAAGAATTTTTTTTCTTAGACATCCAACCCCTCATAATACCACTTCACTCCTAAATGTTTGGGTKTGTATTTCTCTGTTTCCTAATAATAAGGAAATCCACTTACTTAATCACCCAACACAATTGCCCAAATCAGGAATGTTGACTTCTATATGATATAATATTATCTCATCTATGAATTTTACTCTGATTTTACCACCTGTCTCAATGATCTAATATGTTTCTCCTCCTTAGTTCAAAATCCAATTCAGGATCACTAATTGAATTTGAGTTTTATTACTTTTCAGTCTATTAATCCAGAATAATTCTTCAGCTTTTATTTACTCATTTTTTTTTCATGATTATGACATTTTTAAGAGTAGAGACCATTTGTTTTATTGAATGTCTCTCAATTTAGATTCTTTCAGTGTTTCTTAAAGATTAAATTCAAGTGATGTTGTTAACAGGAATACTAAATAAGTGATATGTGTCCTTAGTACATCACATTATGAAGCACACAATGTCATTTTAATGGATGCTTTTAACTGTAATARTTTTTATTATTTATTCTAATTTGTTATACATGATGGACAGAATGTAATTCATTTCATATTACACATATAGAGCATAATTTTTCAAGTCACTGGTTGTACACAAAGTATTTTCACACCATTCATGTCTTCATACATGTACTTCAGGTAATGATGTCTAACTCATTCCCCCATCATTCTTACCCCCCCTACCCTTTGCCCCCTCCTTTTCCGCTCCCTCCCCTTTGCCCTATCTAAAGTTCCTCCACTCCTCCCATGCTCCCCCACCATCAACATTATGAGTCAGCATCCTCATCAAAGAAAACATTTGGCCTTTGGTTTTTTGGGATTGGCTTGCTTTACTTAAGATTATATTCTCAAACTCCATCCATTTACCTGCAAATGCCATGATTTTATTCTCTTTTAATGCTGAGTAATGCTCCATTGTGTGTGTATGTATGTGTGTGTGTATATGTATGTGTGTGTGTGTGTGTATACACACACACACACACACACACACATACATACACCAAAGTTTCCCTATCCATTCATATACTGAAGGGCATCTAGGTTAGTTCCATAGTTTATCTATTGTGATTGTGCTGCTATAAACATTAATGTGGCTGTGTCCCTGAAGTATGCTATTTTTAAGTCCTTTGGGTATAAACCAAGGACTGGGATAGCTGGATCAAATGGTGGTTCCATTCCAAGTTTTCCAAGGAATCTCCAWACTGCTTTCTATGTTGGCTGCACCAATTTGCAGTCCCAMCAGCAATGTATGAGTATGCCTTTTTCCCTACCTCCTTGCCAACACTTATTGTTGTTTGTATTCTTAATGGCTGCCATTCTGACCAAAGTGTGATGAAATCTTAGTTTTGATTTGCATTTCTCTAATTGCTAGAGATGTTGAACATTTTTTTCATGTTTGTTGATTGATTGAATATCCTGTTCTGAGAAGTATCTGTTCAGTTCCTTGGCCCATTTATTGTTTGGGTTATTTGTTTTTCTGGTGTTTAGGTTTTTGAGTGCTTTATATACCCTAGAGATTAGTGCTCTATCTGATGTGCTTGTGGTAAAGATTTGCTCCCATTCTGTAGGCTCTGTATTCACCTCACTGATTATTTCTTTTGCTGAGAAGAAGCTTTTTAGTTTGAATCCATCCAATTTATTGATTCTTGGCTTTAATTCTTACTCTATAGGAGTCTTATTAAGAAAGTTGGGGCCTAATCTGACATGATGGACATTTGGGCCTACTTTTTCTTCCATTAGGYGCAAGGTCTTTGGCTTAATTCCTAGGTCCTTGATCCACTTTGAATTAAAGTTTTGTGTGTAGTGAGAGATAAGGTTTTATTTCATTTTGTTACATGTTGATTTCCAGTCTTTCCAGCACCATTTGTTGAAGAGGTTATCTTTTCTCCAATGTATGTTTTTGGCACCTTTGTCTAATATAAGATAACTGTAGTTATGTGGATTAGACTCTGTCCTATATTCTGTACCATTAGTCTATAAGTCTATTTTGGTGCCAGTACCATGCTGCTTTTGTTACTATTGCTCTGTAGTATAGTTTAAGGTCTGGTATAGGAATGCCACCTGCTTCACTCTTCTTGCTAAGGGTTGCTTTAGCTATTCTGGATCTCTTATTTTTCCAGATGAATTTCATGATTGCTTTTCCTATTTCTATAAGGAATGTCATTGGGATTTTGATTGTATTGCATTGAATCTGTATAGTGCCTTTGGTAGTATGGTCATTTTGATGATATTAATTCTGCCTATCTAAGAACAAGAGAGATCTTTCCATCTTCTAAGGTCTTCTTTAATTTCTTTCTTTAACGTGTTGTAGTTTTCATTGTAGAGGTCTTTCACCTCTTTTGTTAAGTTTATTCCCAAGTTTTGTTGTTGTTGTTGTTTGAGGGGGTGGGTTTCCTAGTTTCTCTTTCAGCAGATTTGTCACTGATRTACAGAAATGCCTTTGATTTATGGGTGTTGATTTTATATCCAGCTACTTTCCTGAATTCATTTGTTAGTTCTAGAAGATTTCTGGTGGAATGTTTCAGGTCTTCTAGGTATAGAATCATATCATCTGCAAATAGTGATAATTTCAGTTCTTATTTCCCTATCTGTATCTCTTTAATTTCTTTTGTCTGTCTGATTGTCTGGCTAAGGTTTCAAAAACTATGTTAATTAGAAGTGGTAATAGAGGGCGTCCCTGTCTTGTTCCAGTTTTTAGAGGGAATGTTTTCAATTTTTCTCCATTTAGAATGATGTTGGTGTGGGGCTTAGCATAGATAGCCATTACAATGTTGAGGTATGTTCCTGTTATCCCTAGTTTTTCTAGAATTTTTGAACATGAAGGGAGGCTGTATTTTATCAAATGCTTCCTCAGCATCTATTGAGATAATCATATGATTTTTATCTTTGAGTCTATTGATATGATGAATTACATTTATTGATTTCTGAATGTTGAACCAAACTTGCATTTCTGGGATGAACCCTACTTGATYATGATGCACTCTCTTTTTGAAAAGTTTTTGTATTCAATTTGCCAGAATGTTATTGAGAATTTCTGCATCTATGTTCATTAGAGATATTGGTCTGAAGTTTTCTTTCTTTGATGTGTCTTTGTCTGGTTTTGGAATCAGGGTGATATTCACCTCATAGAATGTGTTTGGAAGTGTTCCCTCTTTTTTTAGTTCATAAAATAGTTTGAGAAGTATTGGTGTTAGTTCTTCTTTAAAGGTCTTGTAAAACTAAGCTTTGTATCCATCCGGTCCTGGGCTTTTCTTGGTTGATAGGCTTCTGAAGGAGACCTCTATTTCCTTGCTTGAAATTGATCTCTTTAAATTGTGTACATTATCATGGTTTAGTTTGGGCATATCATATACCTCTAGAAATTTGTTGATGCCTTCAGTGTTTTCTATTTTATTGGGTTACGAATTTTCAAAATAATTTATAATTATCTTCTGTATTTCTATAGTGTCTGTAGTAATATTTCCTTTTTATCACGATGTTAGTAATTTGAGTTTTCTCTCTCCTTCTCTTCATTGRCATAGCTAATGGTTTATCAATTTTATTTAGTTTTTCAAAGAATCAACTTTTTGTTTTTTCAATTTTTTCAATTGTTTCTTTGTTTCAATTTCATTGATTTCTGCTCTGATTTTAATTATTTCCTGTCTCCTATTGCTTTGGGGGTTGATTTGTTCTTCTATTTCTAGGGCTTTGAGATACAATGTTAGGTCATTTATTTGTTGAATTTTTCTTTTTTTGAAGGAATGAACTCCATACAATGAACTTTCCTCTTAGAACTGCCTTCATGGTGTCCCAGAGATTTTGATATTTTSTATCGGTGTTCTCATTTACCTCTAAACATTTTTTAATCTCCTCCTTCATATCTTTTGCAACCCATTGTTCATTTATTTAGTCTCCAGGTGTTGGAGTAGCTTTTATTTTTTATTTTATTATGATATTCCTGATATGTAAGTGAAAAAATCAAATACAAAAAGAGTATAGCATAATCCCATTCACACCCTTATAAAATGCTTAAGCACTGCACACCCCAAATATCAACATTTATTTACTCTTTAGTAAAGGGCCAAAGGTCTTTTTTTACTTCTTTTACCTACAATTTCTAAGTAAATTTATAAAACTTTTTGTAAATATTAAGAGGCTATAAAAACACAACATTGGCCTCATGAATAGAAAGATGTGCTTTCTTTACTGCCCTTTTAGATCCAGCATCTTAAAGCCATGCTTCTATTGTGTAGATTGGACCAGAAGAGAAGCTTCATTTGAGCATTGAAAATCTGAAAAGACTCATGTGGGGTAGTTTAATTTTGAGTGTGCAGCTTTGATATGTAGGCTCTAGCATGTACAGATGTGCTCCGTGCATCTGTTGAAATCAAAGAGTTGAAAGTACATTATTTCGCTAGGAAGTGTGTACATAATGAAACCAAGAAAACTGAGGACGTGTCCAACTAACAGATTCATTTTCAACTATTTAGTCATCTCATCAAATTAGCCCAGAAAGTGCCYACTGCTGATTTGGAGGATGTTTTGCCACTAGCTGAAGATATTACTAGAATCCTCTCCAAATGCTGTGAGTCTACTTCTGAGGATTGCATAGCCAAAGAGGTAAGGCAATCCCTATTATCTCCATCATGTGCCTAGCAGGGAGTGCTGTGCTCTCCCTGGCAGGCTCTTTAAGCTACTTTTCATGTGTGTTATTTTAATGGATCTTCACATGTATTCTATGTGATATCAATATATTCTTCAGTTTATTTTACAGATGAGAAAACAAGATTAACAAGGGGCAAAAATTTGAGACCATGCAATTAATACATGACAAGTTCTACATGCAAGGACATGGGACCTCAATCCCAAACCCTTTATTTGAAGTGTACAGTACAGTAACAGTTAGCTTCATAGGAATACTGTATAACTTTAATTTTAACAAAAATTAAATGTATGTAAATTGAACATAATTTAAAATTCAGTTCTTTAGTCACACAGCCACATTTCAATTGCACAACATTATAGGACAGAGCAGTTACAGATAAATGTCATTATTACATAAAATCCTATTAGTGCTGTAATCATTATACTATTAGAGGCTATTAATATTTTTACTAACACTTTTCATAACTTGATGGGCATTTCAAATTTTTTCACCACTTTCAAGTTCCATAATTGTCCTGAGTATATAAACTGGAATAATTGCTTTATGTGAAGTTCAATGTTTTAGTCAGCTTTTTCACTGCTGTGATTAAAGGATCAACCAGCACAACTGTGAGAGAGGAATAGTTTATTTGAGAGCTCATGGTTTCAGAGGTCTTAATCCAGAGAAGACTGGCTCCATTCCTTGGGGCTCGAGGTGAGGCAGAACATCATGGCAGAAGAGTGCGGCAGAGGAAAGTAGCTCACAATATGGTGATCATGAAATAGAGAGAGAGACTCCAGCTCCAGATACAAAATATATACCCTATAGCCACACCCCCAAATTAACCACTTCCTCCAGCCACACCCCACCTGCCTCTAGTTACCACTCAGTTAAYCCCATCAGGGATTAATTCACTGATTTGGTTAAGACTCTCACAATCCAATAATTTCTCCTTTGAACCTTCTTGCATTTTCTTACATGTGAGCTTTTGGGGGACACTTCATATCCAAACCACAACAGTCAGTCTCCAAGATCTTGTTAACCTTTTCAGCAATAGATTCATTGTGTTGTCTTTTTCCATCAAAATGCATAATTGTTACTAGATGTTTTCTATAATGACATATAATGGCTATATAGGACTCTATTACAYACATTTATTATATGTAATACATCTATCTCCCCAGACATACCATATTTCAATTTAACTAATTCTCTATTATTGTATTTAAGTTGTGTTTGTTTTCCAATATTTTAAGTAGAGCTGTATTATATAGCCTTATTTTAAGTCTTCCCTTTATCCATAATTATTATCTAAGTATGAATTCTTAGAGATGAAGTTGTACAATTTTTAAGCTTTTAGTATATATTGATAAATTGCCTTCCCATGTGTTGTACCAATTTACTTTCTAAGAGCATCACACTTACTTTCCTGAACATGAGGCCAGGACTTGTAAGCCTAAACCTTATTTGTCATAAGACCAACAAAGAAGCTAACAATGCACAAACTCACCATTCCTTTTGTAGCTGCCTGAACACACAGTAAAAATATGTGACAACTTATCCACAAAGAATTCTAAGTTTGAAGACTGTTGTCAAGAAAAAACACCTATGGACATTTTTATGTGCACTTACTTCATGCCAGCTGCCCAACCACCCCAACTGCCAGATGTCCAGTTCCCCACAAATAAAGATGTGTGTGATGCAAAAAACACCAAAGCCATGGATCAGTAAGTAGAGGTGATGTGAAATGTCTTTCTGTATCAACTTGTCCTGGAGAAAATCTCACTGTGGCCAGATTGAGGGAAGGTATGCTATCATTCAAACATAGGTAGTTTTTTATGCTTTTTATGGACTTCAAGTATTTATTAGTTGACTTTAAATGACTCAGAATTTTAAAACTGTATTTTAACAAAGAACAATTGAATTTAATAAAAAGAGTTTGGATGTGGCAAATGGAATTTAGCATTCCTAATTCTGCCTCTTCTGATTATCATGCACTTTCAAAAGACCTTTCTGAATCAAAGTCTCTTYTTAATTTGAGAATGGTAATACTTTCTTACTACTGCACAATTACTACTAAGAAATTCATCTAGAAAGATTAGTAAGTATGAAAACTTTTTATATGATTAAACATATTCACAAAAATATGGCAGTGTAAATGTTTATATAATTATTAGCTAATTTTATCACATGGTATTTAATTCAAAGTCACAGATCCAAAGTCTAAAGTTTATCCAACTTTTGGAGAATGATTATTTGATACAATAAACAAATATAGAATCATGTTTTTCCTAAAAGTATTGATATTCACTACCATCAAAAGAAAAATGAGATTAAATGAAAAGAAATGGTGTACCTTGGCAGACATGGTGGCACAGGCCTATAATCCCATGGCTCAGGAGGCTGAGGCAGGAGGATCACAAGTTCAAAGCCAACCTCAGGAATTCAGCAAGGTGCTAAGCAACTCAGCAAGACCCTATCTCTAAATAAAATATAAAAAAGGACTGGGGATGTGGCTCGGGGGCTAAGTGCCCCTGAGTTCAACCCCCAGTACCAAAAAAAAAAAAAAAAAAAAGAAAGAAAAGAAAAGAAAAGGTGGACCTTTATCTTGTTTTATCTAACAAAGGAACTAAGGTAAACACACCACGAGTTGCATATGCTATGAATACATGCCTACTAATTGCATGAAAGTATTTTGCAAATATCTTGAAAAGTCCTCATATCAGACAACAGATTTTAGATAGGACCAAAACTCTAATTTACAATTTTCTTATAAATACTGATGTTTTCATCAGTGTGTAGGCAGCAGTGGAATAAGATATACTGGAAGAATTTATACAGACTTTATTTTTTACAGAAAATCTGCTTAACTGCCTTGATGTTACTGATAGGGTCAATTCTATTATTTATACAAAATTCCGTATGTTTTACATATAATATATAAATACATATTACATGTTTCAAAGTATTATAACATGTTTTCATGAGTGTATTTGAATACTTGCCTTGAATTTATTACAAGTATTAATAACTCACATTTTAATAAAAACACTGTACAGCCCAAAACCTGTTGCTGTGGAGTTAGTTTGGGATAAATCTTTTATAATTAAGATGCAGAAACCAGGTACTCTGCCTTTATGATAGCTATGTCCTATTCAAAACAAGAACACATCCACACGTATCCACATACATCTTAAAAAAAGTATTATCATCTTTCTCTCTCACACCAGGTATGCATTTGAACTAAGTAGAAGGACTCACATTCCAGAAGTATTCCTCAGCAAAATACTCACACTAACCCTGAAAACCCTTAGTGAATGCTGTGACTCTCAAAATCCTGCTGCTTGTTTTGTKACTAAGGTATGATTTTCTGGGTTTTCTTAATCAGCCATGTACATCAAGAGTTGGCAAACTACAACCCCTGGGCCAAACCTGGCCCACTGCCTACCTTTGTATGTATAGCTTATAAGCTAAAAATGGAAAAATGGTTCTAGATTTTTTAATTGCTTGGGAGAAAATATTACTATTTCATGATGCATAAAAATTGAAATTCAAATGTCAGTGTTTAACATAAATTTTCATTGGAATACATCCATCCTCATTGTTTACATATTGTTTATGGCTGCTTTGTAGAGAGCAGAGTAGTTATAAGTCCATAAATGGCCTGCAAAGTCTAAAATATTTACAATCTGGCTTTACACTGAAAATATTTGCTGATTTCTGGCACAGACAGGACATAGAATTTTGGTATAATGACCTTATGGGGCAGTGTTTCAAGACAATTTTTTTTCATGCGAATATTGCTTTTCTTACAGGGTTCTCTAATGAAGAGGAAACAATCTCTTTTCCTTGACAAGGGACAAGAATTGTGTGCAGATTATTCAGAAAACACATTCACTGAGTACAAGAAAAAGTAAGTGATTTGTTCTGGCTGTGTTCACCAAATGTTTCAATAATACTTTTCTAATATTGTGATTTGAAGGCAAAATTGAAAACTCAGAATGTGTTAAGTGAACAGAAAAACACAAAGGTAAAATTGTTTTGAAAAGGAATTAGAATCTAATATTTGTATAAGAAGCAGACGAGCTATTTTCTGGGAGGAAAATATCATATTATCAATTGAGTGACCAATTAAAACATAGACACAAAAATATAAATTATAAAATCTACCTGCAAGAACTTGGGTYAAAATGGCAACATTAGCACATTCTTGCCCCAGAGCTCTCTGTAAATATTGATGTTCACATTGAGGAACTATAGAACTATTGAAAAGTACTATCTAACTTCACCACATATTGCCTGACAAGAAGACCCAAGCAATCAATCTGCCATCATCAGCATATGTTACCTATATACTGGAAATACAAATGCTAATTATCAATAATGTTCAAGCACTTTTTCTCAGTTAAGGGGAGTAAAAGGCATTTTTAAAAATAAATAGGCATTAGCACTAAATAATAAAGAAGTGGTACTGATTTCTTGGGGGAAATTTTCCATTTAGAAGASCTTCTCAGCTTTATATAGTGAATTTCTCACACCCATTTCAAATCATTTTGATCAGCCCAGGCTTCAAATAAGTACAAACAGAACTCCCAAAGAATCCCAAAAGCCATCTCCATCAGTGACCCCCATGAAGTCTACTTTAGCAAAGTTCAAGAAATAAATGAAAATCAATGAAAGCCTCAAGTTTAAAATGGTTATTTCTCATTTATCAGAAAATTATTTAATTGTATAACCTAAAAGAATATTTCAGAGGCAGTTGGATGTTAAACAGATAACTCTCTGCAAACAGCTACGAATTCCAGGAATGCAAGGAGGCAATTGAGTAATCATTGTTTACATAGTCATGATTCCAGATGAACATGTAGCAGAATTGACATGTAGGGTTATGAAATCAGAGAATACAGAGACAGCTGGGTTTTGATATTTGAAGTCCCCTCCCCCAAATCCAGGCTGAGCTATCCATTATGAGGGTGGAGAGGCTCCAAGACCACAGATTGACCAAACTGAAAGAATCCAGACCTATGAAGTCCTATCTCCATCTTAAAAGTGAGATGGAAGATTCATTAGTCAAACAGCTAAAAAGAAGGGCCAAAGTGCTTGATTCACATCAATGAGCATAGTGTGTTGAGACATAGACAAACTGAGGGGTGAAATATGAGAGAAAAGAAAAAGCATAAAGGTAGTATCAAATCATGTAAGGAAATATTCTTTAAGAGCTTGAATCAACTGGAGAGAAGGTAAAAATGTCAGAGAACATACAAAAGGAAGTCATTTGTGTTGAAATAATGAGCAAATAAATGTGGAAAGATTGGCATTTAAATTCAGCAGCAGTTTCTATGTTTCATGATCTTGAAAGAGGTATAGATTTCACTTTCTAATTTCAAATTGACTCACTGAAAATCATTCCACATACATAGAATTTTCTTGAGACAGACAAGTACTTTTCTTTTTTATTGTATAAGATTTGAAATGACTGTCATTTTGCATTAGAAACRTTTACAAAATACATCTAATAAAACCTTGCATAATAAAAATGGTCTTTTAGACTAGAAGAGCGACTAAGAGCAAAAATGCCTAACGCCACACCCATGGAGCTGACAGGGGTGGTTGACAAGCTTTCAGACTTTGCCTCCAAGTGCTGTTCCATAAATTCACCTCCTCTCTACTGTGGCTCACAGGTAAGAGAACACAGCCCTCGTTTATCACTGCAGAGTATGTGAAGAACTTGAGCCCTCAGATTTATTCAGTATTTTGTTAGTAAAATGTCATCATATGACAGGCTTTTCCTGGTGATATATTATAACTTTGTTGTCTTAGCRAGGAACTAGGAAAAATGACTGTTTCCATGTCATGCCCACTTGAAAGAAAATTAAGGCAAAATATAGGAAATTGTATGTTTTAAGAAACAAAAAGATTTGTGAATACAGGAATGAAAGCACAGTGTAGTGTCTTTCAACTGGTAAGTTGTAACCTGGTAGCCACTTATAAAAAGGAAAGAAAAATACAATTCAAATATCAGAGCCCATCTCACACAGTGATGGTAAATGTCATTTCATGAAAATTTTATCTTATAATTTTTACTGAACCTACCCTGGCTTTCTCTAAAATAGAAAATTCGTCCTCTGTTCCCAATAGCAGTTCTTTTATATTTTGAAATGGCCTTTTTTTTTTTTTTCAATTACTCCTTTTTCTTTTAAAGTCTTGGGCTATGAGTGCAATTCTCTTAATATTTTTGTGAAGTCTTATTTTTTTACTGCCTGATCAACATAGTCTTTTATCAGTTTGACAACCGAAACTACATATTGGGTTGTTGAGTTTTTTTTCTAACTTTAGAGATTATGATTTCTCATTTCTAAATTTATAACCGACTTGCAAAACTATTTGATAATCTTATTTGTAATGATTTATGAAGTTGGAATTTCAAAATGAGAAGAATACAATAAAAGCTCACTCTTTAAATTCCACTGACAAACTATGTCATCTTCATCTTTCATTAAAATTCAAACCACATAAGATTTGAACATAAACCCTAAAAAAGTTCGACTTTCTAGGTTGTCTTTTCCCAGAAAAAATAAAATTACCTTACCTAAAAGTTGTTTTCTATCAGCAAAATTTGCTGTGAGGATCTTAGCCATTTAAAAGGTGGGGGGAGCTAAATAATCCTCTAGATTCTATGATAAGAAATATCAGTGCTTAAACCTTCCTCTGTCACCTTTATCTGTTTTTCCAGATGCACATTTCCCTTTTTAACATCACACATGACAAACTGAACTTGATGAACAAAATCCTTGCTTCCTCCAGCCCCTTATTTTTCATATCTTTGGAAAAATAACTGATTTTCAGTTTATTTTTCATTATAACATAATCCATTCTAAAACTCATTTGGTTTCAATGGCAATGATGAGATGGCAGGTTTATAGCTTTTTGTTTTCTTTCTTTGTCACCAGGAAACTTTATAGTAGTGCTGTTCTTAAGTAACCAAGGGAGTTGATGAGGTGTTTGTAACACATTTGAGTATTTAGAGCACTCAGATTCATTCTGGTGTTTCTCTGGTCTTTCTGGCTATCCTTCTAAACTGACCTCATAGCTAGGTAAGCTAGGCCAATTAGCTTGGGCTCCAGTAACACCTGTCAGAACATCACTGCCCTTAACTCCCAGCACTTAGTGTGACTTTTTATCTACTTACCCTTATTTGAATCACAATTTGTTAGACCACCTGCTATATTTGCATGACAGTTTTGTGTCCTTTAAAGGAATGTCCACCTGCTCTTTTACTTCAAGCCACTTACATCTAGGGATCAGGCTGTGTTTGCCATTGTAAGTGTACTTGGCACAGTGCTGGAAGAGTAGCAAAAGGGGCTTCTGAATCACACCACAGCAGCATCTCACTATGTGGAAAGCCACCCCTACTACTGTCCTAATGTTGACATGACCAAGAAATAGAACTACCCGTGAGATCATCTTTTGGCTTTACCGTGGCACTCTCAGAACCAGATGATTTGTTTATACCACAGAGAACTCTTTGCCTACAGAAAAACACGCAGTTTCAAAAAATCAGACTTAAAATGCTTTTTCTCTCTTTGCCGTCATTCTGACAAGGCATCCTATGAGCTTTTCTGAGAACTCATTACTGTGCTTCCTCTGAGATGTCCCAAAAGAGAGCTATTCACACTGCCCATAGTATTTAGAGGGCCACTGTCATATGCTGGAGTTGATAAGTAAAATCCTGGAAACAGGGACAAATACAAATAGAGAAGTGGAAACTGGGCTGACAAGAAGGGTGACATACTCGGTCCCCTCTCCTCCCTACCTCATAACTTCAGGAAACCCTCACGTAGCCACTTCAGTTCTCTCTCTCTCTCTCTTTCTCTCTCTGTAGATATTTTATGGTATGTTAAGCAGAGTATGATTTAGCCTTACAAATTTATGATTACAGAATAATAAAAACGACTCTAAATGTTAAGTACCATTTTAATTTCCCTCCTTTAGATGGGTTAAGATTTATAGAGGTTATGTAATGTTAGGAAAATCACAARCTTATTCTTCATGAGACTTTACTCTCACTTCATATCATTGTTATAGACTTAAGCCCTAAGTTAGCAGTGAGAAAAGCAAAATCTTGACACCAAAAAGACTATTAACTATTGGCTGAAAAATTATTGTTGTTTAAATGGCAAAAAATTATACCAGGTTGGTAGTATCACTCTGAATTCTATCCGCCTCCCTTCCTGGGTTATAGCCATTAGTTATATGCTCTGCTTTTGCTTCAGCAATTCCTTTTTTACTACCTTTGCCCAATTTGTTTTAAAGTTGCTCTTCTCCTTATCTAAAAACATAGTAAACACAACACTGTAGACACCTCCCTGTGGTCTTTCTCCTCCCCTTACAAGATCCATGAAAGAACAGGACATTCTGTGATTCCTCCTGCCTCCTTTAACTACTCAGCCTTTGCAATCTGGCTCTGCTGGTACTCTGCCACTAACAAGTTCACACCAAGAGTGTCCTTGGTAATTCTAACTTTTTCCAGTCCTTAATAGACTTCGCTGCTKTAGTAGACAACTATAACTATTCCTTCTTTCCTAAAACAATTTCTTCAGCATCTATTATTACTTTAATCCTTCAGTTCTATGATTCTTCCTTTCTTATTCTAATTTCATATTTTCCTCTTCCTCTACCCATTCCTTAAATTTCTATTTCCCCAGTGTTTTATCCTTGGTCTTCAACTCTATGACACCTTTTCATGAGTGTTCTCATCTGTGCACATTTTATCTCCAAATCTCTACCTCCAGCCCAGATCTTTCCCCTTAGCACCAGGTTTTCTTGTCTCACAAGAAATTCAAGATAATCACAATCAAATCATCTCTCTAAACCTTCCTCTTGTTTTTCCTAATTTTATGAATTTCACCATTATTTACCTGTTATCCAAAAAGCAAAAACATAGTGTTACTTAATTTCTCCTTTTCTTTTTTCATACCTACCCAACCAAATCCCAAACCCTATCAACTCTAATTTCTCAACATTTCTGTCTCCTACCCATCCTCTTCAACATTCTCAGTACCTGACCCTAGGTCACCTTTCACCTGGAATACAACCTCCCCTTTAGGCTCCTTCTGCACTCTGCCACCAGTGCCTCATCCTCAATCCCATCTTATATTGAGATCAAAATAACTTTTTTTCCTCCAGTAGCTCTCCATCACTTGCAAACTGAAATCCATTGTTTTCTTGGGAGCTTTTTGTTTTTTGGGTTTTTTTTTTCTTTTTTACATTCTAGATCTAGGATCTGGTTTCCTCCCATCACTGTGTCTTATGCCCCTGGTGTTCTCCTGAACTATAGGCAGTTTTCCAAACACGTTAAACTTGCTGTTAACTCAACAACGTTGCATAAAACGATGCAGCCTAATTTCCCTAGCTTTCACTGGGCTTCAGGATTTACTCTAGATACCACCTCCTCCAGGAATTCCCTAGCACTCAAAAATTCCTTGGTATCACATCACATGGTGTGTCACTCACCAATCAGCACTTACTAAATGCTTGCTTGCTTTTCCCTGCTCTGGTGCTGGGGATGGGGCCAGGGCCTTGCCCATGCTGGCAAGCATTCTACCACTGAGTTGCATCTTCAGCCTTATTTTATTCTGAGAAGGGACTCACTAATTTACCCAGGCTGGCCTTGAATTTGCAACCATCCTCTCTCAGCCTCCAGAGTCATTGGGATTACAAGCTGGGCGCCAACACCCCACACCCAACTCAGCACTTAAATTCAATTCTCATTTCTTTGTCTATTTTTCCCAGCAGATTGTAAAATATTTAAGAGGGGTGAGAATGTTMAATAAAGTTATAAATAAAGTTAAATAAATGTGAAGCTTGGCAAATAAAAATGACAATTGACATAGCATTCTGTCAAGAATCGTTTCCTCAAATAAGATTTCAAAGTTTTRTACATTTCTTATCTGCTCTAGTGGTCTATAAATACAGTGTTTCATAAATTATATATTTTCTGTCTTATCAGATTGATGCTGAAATGAAAGACATACTGGAGGCCGATGTGTTTATCTTATCTTAGGTGAGTACATTTTTTAAAAAATAGAACAGTAAAGAATCCAACATTGAACATATTATTTAGATTATTCTATTTATTATCTACTCAAATTCATTTTACAATTGGGAATATGAAGCATCTAAAAAAAATTAAAGTGCTTACACAAGTACACACAGCCAATTTCTGACACAGTTAAAACCAACTCCAGATCTATTGACCCCAGCCTGGTGCTACATCCATCATAATGTCACATCTAAGATAATAACATCATAAAGATCATGTAAAGGAGTTTGATGCACTTCAATAGGAAAAACAGTTTAAAGATWGGGCTCATCAAGTCTTAAAAATAACCCAGCAGGGTTCTTAGGAGAAAAAGGCATTTTTTCCTCAAATTAAAGCAACACTGTTGAAATATTATCACTTGCTTCTTTCAGATATTATGCTTTCACTCCTTTAAAAATGTCTGTTGGAGATATTAAGAACACAAAATAGTTTATTTTGACTTAATGCCACACCTTAAACTGAAGGTAACCTTAATTCTGCACATTTTAAAATATATATATTCTCTCCAGATCCAACTATATATTTTAAAGATATTAMATCTGAGATTTTAAAATCATGCAAACAATATTTTGGGTTTATCTCAGATCTAAGTTGAACTGAGGGTTTCTGATGCTGTCAAATTTTTATTTTGCTATCTTGTTCACAATGTTGCCCCAACTGATGTGAAAACAAAAGTATCCCAATCCAGTGACTAGAGAAAATGGATCACTTCACCGTATTATGATTTTCAACTATCAGGAATTTGAATTAGGAGCTGGAGTTGTAACTCAATGGTAGAGTGCTTGCCTAGTATGTGTGAGGCACTGAGTTCCATCCTCAGTACTGCATAAAAATCAATAAATTAAATAAAGGTATTGTGTTCATCTACCATTAAAAATAAAAATTAAAAAAAATTAAAAGAATTTGAATTATCTGAAGCAGTAAATAAAATACTCTAAGAAGTAGTACAGTGTCAGGCATGTATTTCTTTTTCAATGAATACCTGGACCCACTCCTTTCAAGTTAGAGATTTAAACAGCTCTTATAAGTCAATTCCTTTTGTCTCTCAAGGTATTATGATCACTAGGTACACCTCCAATTCATACCTTATGATCAACCATTTAATGCTATTTCACTTTTAACTAAAGTGTTATTATAAACTAGTCCCCCTGATCAATTACTTTCTTCAAGCCCTCAAACTGAATTGTGGTCATATTTACATGCCCCATGGGATAGAGAGTAACTGTCTAAGTCTCACAAAGGCAAAGCAAGCGTATGTTTTGCCCTTTTGCTTTGGAAGTAACTAGTATTTTAGGGCTTGCCGGGTTGCCAAAAGAGAAATGATTTTCCTTACACCGTACAATTAATCTGGGTAAAAAATATTTTAGAACCACACCCAGCACATATATCTCATACTATGAGAGAAACATAAGAACTTGAACTAAATGAGGGAAGTACATATTCATATCTCACATTTCATCTTCATTCCAAGGCACAAATTCATTGAAGACAATAAAAGATGAGATTTCTTATAGTGTACAAATAGAATTCTATTAGATTGTCTTGAAAGAGAAAAATTAAGAGGGCGGTACATTTGTTACAAAGAAGAAGGTAATTATATTTTTTTWAAAAACTCATACTATAAGTGTTTTACTAAAATAAAAACTACAGATCTATTATGTCAATTCTATAATCAGAACCTGTATTAATTATCGTACTGTCACTGTAACAAAATACCTAAAATAACTAACTTATAAAGAAAAAAAAGGTTTATTTCAGCTTACAGTGATAGAGGTTCTAGTCCATGACCCAGACCCATTGTTCCAAGCCCTGGGCTAGGGTGCTAGATGACAGTGGCCAAGAGCATGCTGCAGAACATACTGATCATTTCATGACCAGAAAGCAAAGAGGAAGAGGCCAGGGTCCTGCAATTCCCTTGATGGGTACACCCCCCAATGACTGCCCACTAGGCACCCCTTCTTAAGTTYMCATCACCTCCCAAGAGCACCACCCTTGGAACCAAGCCTTTTGGGACATTCATCATCCAAACCATAGCAAACAGCCTCACTGCTACCAGTTTACTTTTTTGCTCTGGCAATGATCATTCATTCTCAGAGCAGAAAGTCAAATCCATCATTAGTTTATAGAAAAAGAAAAAAAACACACTGTGCAACAAGTTTTGTAGCTTGGCATAATAACAGTGATGCCTTTTTCTCTTTGGTACTGGGAATTTCTGACTTTTCTTTTTTCTGGACCCATGAGGTGAGYCATATTGGATATATGGATCATGCTGGACAGGGTTATTTTTGTCCTAACCACAAAAATAATATGACCCTACATGCATCTGATTAGCAGTGTTAAGGATAATGCCCATTAGTGGTTTTCCTAACATGTGTTCATTTCCATTGTCCACATAGACCTACCACAGGAACCACCCTGAAGGATGACCTCAGATGGCCAAACCTAAGCAAACCACCAAGCTCCTAGGGCGAACACGAGGATACTCCTTTAACCAGCCACAGTGTCTTCATACAAATGATAAACATGATGATTTGCTATCAGAATAAATCGAAATATAATGCAAACCCAAAACGCAACTGAGAATGAACTGTTGTGCACTGAACAGAACTGTTCCTGTGTCTTTCACAATGATGCTGTGGTAGGCAGCCTCAGCCTCACGAGCCTTCACTTTTTACTAGATCTCTGCTGTTTCTCTCTAAAAGACTCACAATATAAATCATCCACTTTACAATTCCCAACACACTGAACTCCACTCCTTGATTGCTTCTTGGGCTTAGTAGGTGCCATTAAAGCCAACTTTCTACTGAAAACAGCTTTGAGATATTTCACTTCTTAAAAACAAAACATCTCCTGAGACCACCTTCTTGCTCACAGCTGTGTGGCATTAATTACGTAGTTCTGCCTTGCAAAAAGAAAAATCTTTGTGGTCTGAATAAGATTTTGTTTTTGTTTTCTGTCTTTGCTAAAAACTCCTGAGGGCAATTTACGGAAACAAAGTTTCAGAACATGACAATTTTTCAGCTTAATTTACTTTATATATGAAAATACATGCGATTTTTCTATATGCCTTTTTTTGCCCATGGAAAATGAAGGTACTTTATTCTATATTTCTGTTTTGGAAGAACAAGGAAAACCTTTTCTATGAGTAAATAGTATCAGGGAATTTGAATTCACCTGTTGGCAGAAGGAAGGTTATATAGTAATGGTCATACATATTTCATGGTGAATATACTCAGAGTCAATTTAACCAGAATCATCACTTGTCACTTCCAAGAGACAAAGTCCCAGCAAGGAGCATTTCATTAACAGAGCCAAGGTCAAGGGCCCAAGGCAATAGTGTTGGGGGCAGGCCCCAAATGGTTGTAGTTAGGCTCCTTTGTACAGGCTTCCAGGGAGCTAGGTTATGCATTTAGTGTGTGATAAAGCTATGAATACACAATGTTATGGTCAGTGTGTAGTGAAGATCAGAAATTTTGATTCAGGGTATATACTCCAGGTCATCAACACTAACTTGTGAGTACCCATCCTTATGTAAACTGTTGGCAATGTGCCTTCTTTGTTTGGCCTGCATATAGAACAGGGCCTATGGAAAAGACTCAGGGCTAAATGGGAGCAAATAAGGGGCAAAAAATTGGAACTGGCTGGGGGCTAAAGTGGAAGCTAGAGACTGGAGACTACTACTTCCTCTGAATAAGACATGTCTACCATCCCAACTTCGATTTTCATCTTCTTCCACCTGTTGAATCCTGAACTTTGTTTCCTGGGTCTGAGACCCTACATGACAAATGGCTAGGAAATAAAAAACCTGCTCATTTGCAGCTTCTATAGTAAAAGGCACAGCTCTGCCTCCCACAATGATCCCAAACTGGGAAATTAACCTCAACTAGAGAAATTCTGCAGATGCCATGGAGTTCAAAAGCAACAAACTGTCCACACATAATGAGGCAGCCCTTTTGATATTTTTTAAAATTATCTTTTACTGAAAAATTACATCACTGAAGCTTCTAGCAATTCTGAGGAGTAGATACCATTGCTAAAATATGAGAAGACAGACTCCAAAAAGGTGAAATCATACCAAAGTTACCAAAGAACAAAACAGGAATTTACCTTTTAATTCTAGCAATTCGTGGAAGGTTAGTAGGCATAACTGAAGAAAGAGTTCTTTAATTGAATAATTTTGGAAACATAACATTGTATATCACTCAGAGAGTCCCAATTTACTTTATATAAATTCAGTGTTTTGAAATTTATTTAACCACTAACCTCCCTTGTGTTAGTACTTTCCAAAATCATTCCCTTTTGAAATCAATTTTGGAAAATTCTGCTGTGTTCTTACCTGAGAAATCACAATAATAAATCATTCATCAATGTTTTAGTTTTCACTCCTGTGACTAAAGACCCAATAAGAATAATTTCAGAGGAGTAAAAGTTTATTTGGGGGCTCACGGTTTCAGAGGTCTCAGTCCATAGACAGTCAGTCTTGTACTTCGGGG